TTAAAACTAAAGAAAAAAAATCTTGGACCCCCCCAGACCCAAAGAAGTATGCCTCCAATTTTTCTGGTCCCCTCAATAATACAACTTCTTGAACAAATTGTCTCCCTTTTCTCACCTCCATTCTTATCCTCATCTTAAAAAATTTAAAACATTATTATGGTGTACTTCACACATACAAAGAAAGCATAAAGAATAATACAATAAAAGCTATGTATTTTCCACACTCGAGAAAAAATATAACCTATTCTGTTGAATCCTGTGCACCACCCCACCCCCACCCCCAGGACTCCTAGGCCCTGAGCTTCTGCTCCACACTCTGAGGCAGCAAGTTCATTCCTGCCCTAAGGCCTCCGCAGGCATCCCCCAAGCCTCTCGCTGCAGATGGACAAACCGAGGCCCAGAAGACTGGCCCAAGGTCACTACTTGGTGGGCTAGGTTCCAAGACTCCTTGCTCAGGGGCTTCCTCCGGGCTACAGAGCTGGGGAGGACCTCAGGGTAGCTGAGGGTCATCTTGAGTGACAGGAACTCCCTCATTGGTCTCTCACTGGTCCTTTGGCTGCAAGTGGCTGAGTGGGACAAAGCCTACCCACAGCTGGGGCTCATTATCTCATTTGCCACACCCACCCACCCACCATTGCAAGTTCTGGGATGCAGGCCAGATGGGCCCAGTATGGCCAAGGTGAGAATCTGGTGACTGATGCCAGCCTGGGTGGTGGGGGTTGGGTTTATACCAGGGCTCAGAAGCCGGCTGAAAGGGTGGGGGAGGGTTCCCAATGAAGGTACCCGCAGGTGATGGGATCGGCCACAGCTTCCTCCCACCCCACCATTAGACCTACCCCTTGTCTCTCACCCTCATGCTGGCACATTTTTAGGGCTAAGATGGGGAAAGAGGGCCTGGATCCCAGCATCCCTCCAGCCTGCAAAGAGGCTGATCTTAGGCCCTTGGGCTACCCCCTTCCCCGCTGGCCCTGGGTTTGAGCTCTGGCTCTGCTCCCTCCAGCGGTGGGCCTCTGCGGCTCCGAGCTCACTCACCACCCTGGAACATGGGGACAGGAAACCTGCTCCTCACTGAGGAGAGGGCACTTGAAAAGGGCCTTGGAAGAAAGGGAAGGCGCCTTGACAGGCAGGGGCTGGGGCTGGGGAAGAACCAGATTTCGGAAAGAGAACGGATGAGTGTCTGTGGTTGGGTGTTGGAAGCCAAGGAAATCTTCTCACACCTTTTCCTCCTCAGTATTTAAGTAAAGAAGACTTCAACCGGCGAACAGATGAACAACCTGGGTCCATCCGTCCAATGGGCCCTGCTCAGCAACGTAAAGGAAGCCTCGCAGGAACCTGAGTGACTCTCCGATGTATTTTGCCGAGTGAACAAAGCCTGCGTACTCAGAGGCTACACGCTGTCTGGTTTATTTATATGACTTTCTGGAAAAGTCAGAATCCATGGTTGCCAGGGGCTCAGGCCTGGGGGCAAGGACTGACCACAAAGGGTGATAAGAACTTTTTGGAGTTTGCCGTGTCTGTATCATGACTGTGTGTTGTTACAGGACTGTACACATTTGTCAAAACTCATAGAACAGCCCTAGCCGGTTTGGCTCAGTAGATAGAGCGTTGACCTGCAGACCAAAGGGTCCCGTGTTCAATTCCAGTCAAGGGCACGTACCTTGGTTGCAGGCTTCTCTCTGGCCTGGGCCCTGGTCGGGGTGCGTGCAAGAGGCAACCAATCGGTATTTCTCTCTGTCTTCCCCTCTCTCTTCCACTCTCTCTAAAAATCAATGGAAAAATATCCTCGGGTAAGGATTAAAAACAAAACAAAAAACACACCTCATAGAACTATATGTTAAAAGGGGTGAATTTTCATTGAATGTGGAATAAAATACCAAAAAACGACAACCCACCAACACAAAGTTCTTTCAACACATCCCATATATATCACCATAATAAATACGTTTCCTCAAAGTAATCCCCACCCTGAGTTTCCTTCATGTATTCTGCCAGGAGTTATTCCTTGAGTACCTACTCCGTGCTAGGCGCTTTCCCAGGCGCTATGGAATCAGGAATGAACAAAATCGGCAAGTTACCTGATTCCAGGGCACTGCCACCAAATCCACCAGTTAAATTCCAGTGGTGACGAGTGCTATGAAGAGAATAAGATGGAGTGATGGTTGGGCTCGAGGGCACGGTTAGCCAGAGCGGGAGGGGAACCCTCACCTGAGCTGAGAGGTGAGACGGGTCTGCTGTGGACAGTCAGGAGGGAAGACAAGTGCAAAGGCCTGAGGTGGGAGGGTGTCTGGCGTGTATGAGTGTGACTCCTCACGCTTCCTTGCCATGCGGCCTGGGGCAAGTCATGGCGCTGCTTGGTGCCTCAGTTTCTCCATCCATTAATGGGAAACCATCTTGCTTCAGTCTTGTTGTGAGAATGAAATGGAATAATTCTCTCAAGGCACAGAGAGCAGTGCCTAGCGCACAGTAAGTACATGCTGGCCATCTTTCTTTGTCCTGCGCTCTCTCTGGGAGGCAGGGAATATTTTCGATTCCACTTCCTAGAGGAACCAAATGATGCAGGTGGTGGCTGCCCCAGGACCCCACAGCTGGTCAGTGGTACCACTGGGGCCTGGCCACTTGACCTCCGCTCAGGCCTCCTCAGATCCCACAGAGATTCCCGGGGTCCGTTCCAGACATTGCAGAGCCGGCGCTGTGGTTAAGCAAACGCTCAGAGGCCAGAGGTGCGGGCTCAGGGGACAGACCGAGGGGCTGTTTTCTCACATTTCCTGCCCACGGAGAGAAGAGGGAGAGGGTCTGTGCACACCCAGCCCGCCGAGCTCTGGGGCTGGAAGGAAAGAGCCAGAAACACATGCCCTGCCCCACGGGATGGCAGGGCCAGGCGCTTGAACAAATAAACCCGTTCCTGGGGGGAAGCCGTGCTCGGGGCCTCTGCGGCCGCTGCGCCAGGCCATCCCTCGGCCGAGGGCATCGGTGCCAGCCTTTCTAGGCTCCCTGCTCGGGAAGACAGCCTTCTTCCTCCAAGACATAGATGCTGTTTTCTCCACCCCACCCCCCGCCCCGAGCAGAAAGCAGCCAGGGGAAGGTTAGGAAATCAAACCCCAAGAGATTTGGTTCAGCAACCGAGATTCATTTCTTGTTTGGATAACCCACGGCTGAAAATGCCAAGAATTTACGGGCAGCCTGGGGAGGCCGGGGAGCTGGAAGTCCCGGCCAGTGAGGGAGGGTCCCAGGCTGCGCCAGGACCCCACATGCATTCCCGCCCCCCTTGCTTCTGACCCATGTCCGGTCAGGCAGGGCCCAGTGGCCGCCAGGCGAGGGGCTGAGTTATTCTGAGGTTTGACGTCAGGGAACTGGAGCAAACAGCAGAGGCGAGGGGCAGTGCCCGGTCAGAGGCTCCCGCGCAGCCTCCAGCCTCCCCCTGGAGGGGTGGGCGCTGGCCCTTGGGCTGGGGTGTCCTCCAGGGTGGACAGCGCATGTGGACTCCTGGGGAGGTAGAGGTGGTGGGGGCAGATGGCTTAGTGGTGAGGGGAGAATCTGAGAGAATGACAGGGAGAGGCTAAGGGAGACACCAGCAGACAAGAGAGAGAATTGGAGAGTGAGAGAGACACATGCACAGAAACCACAGGGCCACCGTGGGAGCCCCAGGAGAGACCCCAAGAGGCAGAGGCACACAGAGGTGAAAGGAGAGAGGCAGACAGTGATGCAGGCACAGAGGGTCAGCTGCTACCAGGACAGGGAGAAAGTGGAGTGACCTAGAGTTTCCGGGGTTCAGGGTCTGCCGGGCCGGGGGCCCCAGAGACCTGGAAGAAGGCGTGCTGCCCTCTGGTGCTGGGGGGGGGCAGGGAGCCTGGGGCCCTGTGTGGCCCCAGTTTTCCTCACTCTCCTCCTCTGCAGAAGGAGCCTGTGGGGAGCATGGGCCAGGGCAGAGGATGCACCTCCTGCTGGGGGGCTGGGAGCTGGGGCAATGGCAGGAATAGCGTGTGCCTTTGTTGGGAGCATGCAGCGGGCAGACACTTCCCCAGCTCTGCTGCTCATGGCCCCACGTCACATGCCTCATAGATGTGGCACTGAGTGAGGGCCCGCACCGGGTCACAGAGCTGGTCTGTGGTGACCCCAGGAGGCCATGTGACTAACCACGGTACCACTCGGCTCAGCTAGGGGAGCCTGCCCTCCAGCTAGCCCTGCCCCCCGCCCCCCAACATTCCTGGCTGGAGCTGCTGTGAGCCCACCCAGAGTCCTCACCGACACGAGTCACTGGGGCAGAAGAGAGAGGTGGAAGGAAGGTAAGAACAGTAGAAGGAGGGGAAGGGAGAGGGGTTCAGGGGAGCAGAGCAAGAAACAGGGAGAGGGAGCAAGGGCAGGGCACCCCCACCCTATGCACATCTGAGCATAGGGCAGGACACCAGCCAGTTGCATGCTGGGAGAAGAGTGGGAATCTGGGAATTGGGATTCTGAGGCAGAGGGAGCATCCAGCTGTCTCTCAGATCTTGCCACCCCCACCTCCCTGACACCCTCCAGCCAGAGAAAGAACCTAGAGTAAGGAGGTTGGTTTTTGCTGCTGCATGACTCTGCTAGGTCCCTTCTCTTGGTCGGCCTCAGTTTCCTTATGTGTACAAGGGAGGAGCTGGGGGCATGGCTGGGCAGGCATTGGCCATTGGGAGCTTACAACAGCACCCCTGCACCCACGAGATGAACAGAATCTTGCTGGGTCGGGGGGCAGGCTATCTCCTGTCACCCCAGGTCACCCCGATGGCCCTGGTGATGATGCTGCTGCTGCCACTAGATAAAGCTATTTTGAAGATCACTTTTTTCTCTTCTGGGTTGTTCTAGAAGAAGCCAAAAAGTGGCATTGGCGTTTCAAAGACTCTGAACTGAGAGGCTACACAAGAGAAGAGCCAGACGGAGGTCACGACCATGGCCGCCGAAGGTAGCTAGCATTCCTGACTGCGTCCGGGGAGAGTAGGAGGGAGAAGAGTGATTGTTCAAATGCTGCCTATCACTGAGCCAGGGGTCATATGTCTCAACCGGGGGAGGAGGGACCCAGGAATCACAGGACTCATGTTGCTATTCCCAGGGCGAGCACCGCATGGAAACGGGCAACACGCATTGAGAGTTTACTAGGTACCTGGCACCGGACCAAGGACTGCCTGTGCCTCACCTCACAGAGGTAGGTAGCTGCCACTCCACTTTATAGGAAAGGAAACCAAGGCTCAGAGAGGTGAAGCAACTTGCCCCGGGCCACACAGCAAAGAAGAGGCAGAACTGGTTTCGAATCCCAACAGTTGGGCTCCAGCGTTGGGCCCCCACCTTCTAGGCTCTGATGCTACCCCCAGAATTGCAGGACCCCGGGAAAGCGACTGCCAGGTGTGGTTAGGCCTGTGAGCCCGACCTGTGGCCGGCTCCGCGGGCACAGAGGGACTTGGCAGTGACCTGAACACTGAAAGCCATGGGAAGCACTCAACCCAAGGCGTCCGTCACGTAGGAGATGACATGGCCAACACTTGCATGAACCCCACCAAAGACCCAGCATGATGGGGGACCCCTCGAGAACACCAGCATAGACAAGTGACATTCCCAACCCTGAGGTTATCTGCCACCCTTGGACTGACTTGACCAGGACTGAGCTTCCCCCAACCCCTGGTACAGAGTTCAAAACAGAGATTATGTTGATTAAATGATGGCTCATCAGTCCTCTGCGTTCTTGCCCAGGTGGGCTACTCGAAGCAGGACCGTAGCCGGCAGCAGGCTGAGAGTGGCATGGGAGTGACCTCGCCGGTTTCCCCAGCCACCCCCTGACGTGCTGTCGTCTTCTCCATTTCGCAGACGGGGAAACAGAGACTCACTCATCCATAGCCATGCGAACTCAGGGTCAGGATGCGACTCAGGTCAGCCTGACTCCTACATCAGTGACCGCAGGCCCAGGGTGTCCTACGGGGACTCGGGATTATCAGGTTAGGTGGATGGGCGCAGGGAGAGAACAGTCCACTGTGAGCTGAAGGGATGAGCTGGGTGACCTTCTGACCCAAAAGCCTTCAGTTTAAATCCATCCTTTGGCTGAGTCAGTGTTGCCTAAGCACCAGGCATCCAGGGGAGTAAAGAGGATGAGAGGGTGAGACTCGGGGTAGAGAAGCCAGATGGGAGTTGATGAGGCCTGAGCCAGGGCAGCAGCCAGGGCAGCGCCAGGTAGATGGGAGGATGGATGCTGACGAGAGAAGCTGAAGCAGCAGGATGGAGGGGACATGCTGTCTGGCGAGTGGGGGTGGGGGAGAGGAGGTGAAGGACAGCCCTAGGTGCAGAGGCCTGCTGGCTGGGTGATGATACCTTAAACAGAGAGAGCAGTGGGCAGGGGAGGGAAGAGCTGAGCGTCGGACAACTTTGGAGCTGAGACACTGGTTTTGAATCCCAACAGTTGGGCTCTAGGGGTGGGGGGACATCAGGGTTATGGATTTGGGGCACAGGAACCCATCAGGTGCCCATCTGGTGTCATGGAGGAGCAGGTTGGAGACAGTGAGCAGGAGTGGTGGGGGGCAGCCCGGAGGGCAGTGCCACTAAGGGTGAGAGGAAACCAAGAGATGAGATGAAGTCCTGGGAAACACCAACATTTCAGGATGGGGGAGAAGCAGGGGCAACCTGCGAGATGGGAGGAACACCGTGCATCCAGGAGACTCGGATTGAGCACCTACTATGTGCCAGGCACCGTTCCAGGCCCTGGGAACACAGAAGTGAACAGAACAGACATGGTCCTTGCCCTCTGGCAGCTCACAGACCAAAAGAAATGCTC